TTAGGTGCCTGAGCACATAATCACCTCCTAATATTCAGAGGGCCTCCTCTGCTGGCATGGTCTTTAGAAGAAGAGGTGCTGACCAGATCTGTGATGGTACTTATTTCCTTCTAGGGATAGGGTGGTCAGCTACACACTCGGCCGCAGGCTTCCAACAGATCATGTGAGTGGACAGCTGCAATTCCGGTTTGAGATCACTTCCTCCATCAACCCAGGTATTTTGAGCATGAACTAATGTCTTAGCCTTATGTCATAGTGTGGTTCCTTTCTCTAAAATACAATAACTATGATTCTCTCCAGACATGTTCTAGGTTTTGTGAGTCTCTGTCTTTACCATTTGAAGCCTAAAAGCCAGAGATCTGATCTAGAATCCAGGTTGCTGTCTCCTTGATAGAGAGGCTTCTCTTTATTCTGGTAACCAAAAGGTAGAGGGTTAGACAGTGGAATGGGGGTTGACAGTGAGGCCAACATGGGTACGGAACCGTGTCTAGTTTATCATTTACTTCCAGCACCCACATAGGAGGTACTCAATAGATGTTTCATTATTTCTTACGGGAGTGAATGAAGGAATGTAAACATGAATGAATGTGATACATGTCATGCTGTTGAACAACTAAGATTGTACAATGGACTTTTACAATATCACTGGGAAAAATAAAAACTATAAATTGAACACAAAACTTCAGAATCATCCAGTGTTCAGTGTTTCAAGGCAAAACGTATTTCCAAATAAGAATGATGAAAGACCTCAAAATTCCACTTTTGCTCCTCTCCCACAACTCTCATACTAAGTGTAGATTACACTGAGAGTTATTAGTTTCCCCTGCCCACTCATTTAACTACAGAGGCACTTTTCTATACCCAGTATACAATGCAGATTGTAAGAAAACACCTGACTGTGTTTTCCTTTCAAATTCAGCCTTTTCTGTATTCTGCGAATAAAACTGACTCTTCCTTCAGTGTATCAGTAAGGATAGCCTTATGGTTCACCAGAGAGGTTGTTTTTCTTCAATGAGTGAATTGCACTAGTGTGTTTGAAATAGTATGTTTACATCTTGCAGGATCCAATAAAACAAGCAATTGGGGGCAAGTAGATATAAACCATGGTTGCTACTCCTTGAATGGTTGCTTGGTGTGGAGACCTGATTTATTCTTCTGCTGCAATAATTGCCAAATGTCGGAAGACTGTCAGTCTGAGCTTCTAAATGACTGGTTGTTCCCAGTCATTTAGATTCTAGCCCTTTTCTACTCTCTAGTTTTCTAAGAACCTGTCTTACCCATTCTGTCATCCTGGGGGACCCAGCCATATGAAATACACTTAGCAAGTATAATTAGCCCTGCTTGGGATCTGCAAGGAACTGTAAACATTCCTCTCCCATCTCTGAAGTCTTCTATGTAGCAAACATTGTTAAGCACCTACTATGTGCCCAGAACTGGAGTACCACAAAGCTTTGGGTATTTTAACCAAAAAATGGATCCACTTGAAACAGAATTCAGAAATATATAATGACAAATTGTCATTAACACAAGAATTCATTCTTTATTTATTTTTCAACTTTTTTGCAGGACAGTCTGGTTTTGCCCGTTGTCCTTGCTTCATTATTAATAATGCTCCCTTTCACTCTCAAAAGTGTCCCTGTTTGGACAATAAATCATATAGTCACAATAAAGGAACTAGGATCAAGCACTTAGGAGGGAGAGTAGTTAGTTTGTTTTTTTTCACCCATCCTCCTATCAACCACCACCCCCTTTGGCAACTACCAGCTTGTTCTATATATCTATGAGTGTGTTTCTGTTTTGTCTTGTTTATTTATTGTTTTGTTTTGTTAGATTCCACATATAATGAAATCATATTGTTTTGTCTTTCTCCTTCTGACTCATTTCACTGAGCATAATACCTTCTAAGCCCATTCAGGTTGCCACAAATGGGAAGATTTCATTCTCTCTTATTGCTGAATAATACTCCATTGTGTATATATACCACATCTTCTTTATCATTTAATCTACCAGTGAACACCTGGGTTGCTTCCATATCTTGGCTATTATAAATAATGCTGCAACGAACATTGGAGTGTATGTATCTTTTTAAATTAATGTTTTTGTTTTCTTCAGATAAATACCCAGGAGTGAAGTTGTTGGGTTGCAGAGCAGTTCTATTTTTAATTTTTTTAATCTTTGTACTGTTTTCAAAGTGGCTGCACCAATTACATCCCCGCCAACAATGCGCAAGTGTTCCCTTTTCTCTATATCCTTGCCAGCACTTGTTATTGAATGAGGTGGTATCTCATTGTGGTTTTGATTTGCATTTCCCTGATGATTAGTGCTGTGAGCAGCTTTTCTTGTGTCTGTTGGTCATCTGTGTGTCCTCTTTGGAGAAATGTCTATCCAGGTTCTCTGCCCATTTTTTAATTGGATTATTTGAGTTTTTTATTTTAAGTCGTATAAGTTCCTGATATATTTTGGATATTAACCCCTTAATATATACTTGTATGTTATTGAAAAATATCTTCTCCCATTCAGTAGGTTGTCTTTTCATTTTGTTGAAGGTTTCCTTTGCCGTGCAAAACCTTTTTAGTTCGATGTAGCTCCATTTGTTTATTTTTTATTTTGTCATCCTTGCCTAAGGAGACATATCCAAAAAGATATTAAGACCAATGTCAAAGAGTTGACTGCCTATGTTTTCTTCTAGGAGTTTTATGATTTCAGGTCTTACATTTAATTATTCATTCCATTTTGAGTTTATTCTTGTATATGGTATAAGAAGGAGGTCCAGTTTCATTTTTGTGCATGTATCTGTCCAGTTTTCCCAGCACCACTTATTGAAGAGACTGTCTTTACCCCATTCTATATTCTTACCTCCATTGTTGTAGATTAATTGGTTCTCTCTTCCACTGATCTATGTGTCTGTTTTCATGCTGTTACCATACTGTTTTGATTTTTGTAACTTTGTAGTGTAATTTGAAATCAGGAAGTGTAAAACCTCCCACTTTGTTCTTTCCCAAGATTGCTGTGGCTATTTGGTGTCTTTTGTGGTTCTATATAAATTTTAGGATTAGTTGTTTTAGAGGGAGAACACGTTTTTACAGAATTTTTCAGCTGAGTACTGGCCAGTGAGAAACCTTCATCAACACCTACATCCAATATTCTAACATAAAAATCCCTTAGGGTGGCTTACATGTTCATGTCCAACAGAGTACACAAATACCACAATGCTCTCTTGTGGAAGGAATGATGTTTTCCTCTTGCCTGCAGATGATGAAGAGATTTCCCTGAGTACTGAAGCTGAGGCAGCGGAAATTCAGGACAGCCCCATGAACAACCTGGTGGAAAACAGCCATAGGGAGACTCTGCACGATGCACCAGAGCCCTCTGGTAGCTCCAAGCCGGAGCAGCCAAAGGAGGGCAGCACCGTGGACGCTGAAGGGAACGAGAGCCTAGAGCTTACCACGCCAGTGGAGGAAGCGGCAGGTACCACTGAGGCAGGAGACAGCAGCGCAGCCTCTGTGCGACCTGATGGGGCTGGGGAGCACCTGGGCCTGGGACAAGAAGGCACCAAGCCTGCCCTGAGTGCAGAAGAGCTAGCCAAGGGGCTGGACCTGGGAGGGGTGGCGCCCCCAACGGGGCTGCTGGAGAACAGCGAAGCCTCCCGCAGCAATGAGGATCCTGTGGAAGAGCAAGTGTGGACAGAGAACCGGGCTGGGGGGCAAGGAGAGGAAAAGGAGCCAGCAGAGCAGGAGGACGAAGAGGAGGATGTGTCTGCTCTCGGGCAGCAGGACAGGCTGCAGCTGCGCTCCTCGGTGAAGAGAAAGAGCAGGCCGTGCTCCCTGCCTGTGTCCGAGCTGGAGACGGTGATCGCGTCGGCCTGCAGCGACCCCGAGACCCCGCGGACACATTACATCCGCATCCACACCCTGCTGCACAGCATGCCCTCGGCCCAGGGCAACGCCGCGGACAGCGATGGCTTTGAGGAAGAGTCCACTCTCAAGGATGCCTCAGAGAAGGATGGGCACAGCGAGGGGAACACGGTAGCTGCTGAGCTGCCTGCCCTGGAAGAGGGTGGAGAGGACCCCAAGGGGGCTACCCCAGGCACGGCGCCTCCCGTCCACTCCGGCTTGGCCAACAGCCCGGCCCCGAGTGGCGACACGCACCCAAGCACAGAGAGTGAGAGCGACTCCAGCCCCCGGCAGGGCGGGGACCACAGCTGTGAGGGTTGTGACACGTCCTGTTGCAGCCCCTCTTGCTACAGCTCCTCCTGCTACAGCACGTCTTGCTACAGCAGCTCCTGCTATAGCACCTCCTGCTACAGCCCCTCCTGCTACAGTGGCAGCAGGTTCGCCAGCCACACCCGCTTCTCCTCCGTGGACAGTGCCAAGATCTCCGAGAGCACAGTCTTCTCCTCGCAAGATGATGATGATGAGGAGGAGAACAGCGCATTCGAGTCGGTGCCAGACTCGGTGCAGAGTCCGGAGCTGGACGCCGAGTCGGTGAATGGCGCTGGGCAGTGGCAAGACCATCCAGCCACCCCCACCAGGGACGTGGCAAGAACAATGGACAGTCTGGAGTCCCACGTGGCAGGGCCAAGCCATTGGAGAGAAGGTTAGACCTCAAACCTGATCAGAGTGAGAATAGGACCACTGGAGTGACACAGGTCACACCAACATAGTTTAAAAACAAGAGCGGATCAGTCCCAAATGGGCTTGCTGCTGCAATGTGTGTATGCCTATACTGTGTGTGTGTGTGTGTGTGTGTGTGTGTGTGTGTNCTAGAATCCAAGGAGAAGTTTTTGAGTGTCTATGTGGGACCTTGGAGTTGGTGTAATTGGGAGTCACAGGCCAGTGAACTCCGCACACGTATCTCTTCACTCCAGTCTGCAGCCGATCCTTTTCTGAAGCACTGTATGTGGTCTCCAGTCACCATGACAGTACCCCTTCTCAGACATTAGGTATATATACTGCAAGACATGCACCTGTTGCTGGCACTGTATTTGGAAAATATCAATGTGCACAGTAAGAGCAAGCAAAGGATATCCATGTTTGTTTGCTTTTTTAACACAGGTTGGAAAACTACTTATAAAGGGCCCATTAGTAAATATTTTATGCTTTGTAGGTCATAAGGTCTCTGTACCAACACTCAACTCTGCCATTTTAGCATAAAAGCAGCCCCAGACAATAGGTAAACTAATAAGAATAGCCGTGTTCCAATAAAACTAGGTGAAAACTGAAATTTGAATTTTATATAATTTTCATGTCACAAAATATTACTCTTCTTTTGCTTTTTTTCCAACCATTTAAAAGTGTGAAAAGCTCATGGCCATACAAAAATAGGGGGTGGGTCATATTTGGCCCATGGGTTGTAGTTTGCGGACTTCTTATAGAATATTTGATAAGGATTTTTTTGAAGTCTCATTACTGTTGATCAGATGTACATTCCCATCTTAGGTGCCTGAGCACATAATCACCTCCTAATAGCAGGACCACCCAGGGCCTCCTCTGCTGGCATGGTCTTTAGAAGAAGAGGTGCTGACCAGATCTGTGATGGTACTTATTTCCTTCTAGGGATAGGGTGGTCAGCTACACACTCGGCCGCAGGCTTCCAACAGATCATGTGAGTGGACAGCTGCAATTCCGGTTTGAGATCACTTCCTCCATCAACCCAGGTATTTTGAGCATGAACTAATGTCTTAGCCTTATGTCATAGTGTGGTTCCTTTCTCTAAAATACAATAACTATGATTCTCTCCAGACATGTTCTAGGTTTTGTGAGTCTCTGTCTTTACCATTTGAAGCCTAAAAGCCAGAGATCTGATCTAGAATCCAGGTTGCTGTCTCCTTGATAGAGAGGCTTCTCTTTATTCTGGTAACCAAAAGGTAGAGGGTTAGACAGTGGAATGGGGGTTGACAGTGAGGCCAACATGGGTACGGAACCGTGTCTAGTTTATCATTTACTTCCAGCACCCACATAGGAGGTACTCAATAGATGTTTCATTATTTCTTACGAGAGTGAATGAAGGAATGTAAACATGAATGAATGTGATACATGTCATGCTGTTGAACAACTAAGATTGTACAATGGACTTTTACAATATCACTGGGAAAAATAAAAACTATAAATTGAACACAAAACTTCAGAATCATCCAGTGTTCAGTTTTTCAAGGCAAAACGTATTTCCAAATAAGAATGATGAAAGACCTCAAAATTCCACTTTTGCTCCTCTCCCACAACTCTCATACTAAGTGTAGATTACACTGAGAGTTATTAGTTTCCACTGCCCACTCATTTAACTACAGAGGCACTTTTCTATACCCAGTATACAATGCAGATTGTAAGAAAACACCTGACTGTGTTTTCCTTTCAAATTCAGCCTTTTCTGTATTCTGCGAATAAAACTGACTCTTCCTTCAGTGTATCAGTAAGGATAGCCTTATGGTTCACCAGAGAGGTTGTTTTTCTTCAATGAGTGAATTGCACTAGTGTGTTTGAAATAGTATGTTTACA